CTCCTCTCCTCCCCTCTCCTCTCTCTCCCTATGCTTCTATATGCCACCATTACACATTACTAACTTTGTGTCTCCTCTCTCCCGTAGTGTGTCCTCTCTCTCTCCCTGTACCTTTCTGCAGGTTGCCCTGGCCCTGGAGCTCTACATCTCTGACGAGCAGTCACCAGCCACATCAACCTGATCAGTGTTTGATTGTTGTGTCTTGTTGCTTTTCTCCTTTTGTCTCTCCTCTATCCACTCACCCCAACCGGTCGAGGCAGAAGGCCACCCACCAAGAGCCGGGGTCTGTTGGAGGTTTCTTCTGTTAAAGGGAGTTTTTCCTCCCCAATGTCACCAAGTGCTTGCTCAAGAGGGATTTGTTGGGTTTTCCTTATGTAATAATATTGATAACAGTAAGGTCTAGCCCTTACTTTGTAAAGTGTCCTGAGATGACTTTTGTTGTGATTTGGCGCTATACAAATAACATTTGATTTGATTTGATTTCATTCAGTACATATTATTCAGGTAAGATCATTAAGAGTCACATCTTTCTATGGTTATTTTCCTACATCTAACACCTACTGAGATGTAATAAGGAGGGCCCCTGAGTTTACTTCTGGACCTGAACCCCAAGTCGAAAGCATCTACAGTAAATTAGACAACCAAAGAGAAGCCAATGATTCATTGTACCTTGGTTGTCCAGTGAGTTGTGGGCCAAATTCAGTGAATGGATGACAGAGGCAGGGTTCTCCGAAAGAGCAGCTGACATCTTCTGGGGGAAGTCTCTGTAAAGTCCATCCACAGTTATAAAGAGACAAAAACACTAGGGCTGCAACTAACTATTTTTAAGTATCATTTGCTATGCCATTTATTTCCTTGATTAATCAATTAATCATTTGATCTATAAGAAAAGTGCACATAAGAAAGGTCCTGAGAGCCCAAGGCTGCATGTCTGAATGGCTACTTTTGTTTGATTTGCAGTCCAAAACCCAAAAATATTCAATTTACTATGACTTAAGACAAAGAAAAGCAGGATTTTTTTACCTTTGAAAACCATCAAATGATTTTAGTATATGCTTGAAGGATTTGTTGTCTTAAATTACTTGCCACTTAATTGTTTGTAGAACAACTAATCGATTAAATGGCTCATCGTTGCAGCTATAAAACATCTATTGTAAATGCAAACAAGCATTTTAGTTGCCATTGTAGTGACTTATCACTTTCATTAAGTTGGGAGACTCACAAAAGACAGTTCATAAGAGAATGGTCAAAGCAGCAGAGACAGAGTTATCCTGAGTTTATGTCCCTAATGTGGGTCATGAGCCAACAGTACCTGCCCCTACAATTCTTGTGTTGGGAGGTTCAAGTGTTTCTTTCCCTTGGCATACACCAGGTATGGACCTCTAAATCAGTTGGGTATTTTGAGTTTTCCAGTATTTCGTCCTGCACACCTTTCAGGCCACAGAGTGCAGGTCACACAAAAGATTATTTGCATCAAAATACAAAACAAGTATTAATACTAACAGGCAATAAAATGTTTGTAGTTTAATCAAACTGCAGCAGTGAGGCACTCCAAAATCTTCAGGTGGTTTGGGCTTGCTGGCTGCATGTATGGGAAGTGTCGAGTGCAACAAGCCTGTGTGAGAGCTGGTATCATCATCAGCAGCAGCAGCTGAGTCAAGTATACAGCTGAGAGATAGTTTGGTAATGTATAAAAGCTAGATCTTTTGTCATGTGAGCAATACACAACAGTGTAAAGTTAACAAATGTCAAACTTTCAAAGGTATTAGTAGAAAAGTGCAGTTTGTTCAGCCAGCACTATACAATAATCGAAATGTAACTCAACATTGTCGTTCATTAAAAGCTCCCTGCCTGGTAAAGGCAACTTGAAACTCTTGGTTTTCTTATGTCTGTGATAAGAAAACTGATCTTCAGGTGTAAAATTAGTGGCATGCCCCTTTAAACAAAGAGTTCATAGAAACCTGAATGGGCAAAGAGCTAAGAGGGTGTTAGAGGAATTAAAACTCACGATTTTAACCCAGCGTTCTCCAGAGTGATCTCCTCCAGGCTAGAGGATTTGCTGACTGTATGCAGGACCTGCTCTGTGACCTCTGACCCCTGAAGTGAAAAATAACATTAAAAGTAAACTTTTCACCTGTTACTTAACAGAACCAAAGCAAAGTAAACCAGTTATACTTACTATGCGCAGGTCTTTGCAGTACAGTTTAGTGAACCAGGTGTTGTATGCTATTGATGCGACAATCACCGCTAAATCTCTGGAAAACATAAACATTAGGTAAAAGAGGCACTAAATGTCGAAGGGAATAGTGTTTGGCCACTCTTCAGCCCTCACCTGCTCTCCAGGTGGCTGAAGTCCAGCAGGTTGAACTCTCGGTTGTCCTGGGAGTGATAGATAGTGTCCACATCCTATAGGAGCAACATTACCCATGAGCCCCTTTGCTGCAATACATGACCCCCCCCATTTTGTGCGCAGTGCTGTACATAACACTCAAAAGCACTCAGCAACACAGGCACAGTCCCACAACTCTTACCCACTGCACTTCCTCCTTGCAGCTGATGCCATTATAGTCGCACAAAGCGGCGTAGGTCTCTGAGAAGCCTCCTGAGAGACGAGCAGGAAGATAAACAGTGGAGGGAGAAAACAAAGAAGAATCTGAGATGATGTGAACAGATGCTACCTTCAGCAATAACAAGTGAGAAAAGGGAGGGAAACGCAAAAAGAAACATTTATCCAAATTATCAGTCCTTTATTTGCGTGACAGAACATTTTAAAAAGAACATCTGTGGGGCCATTTGTGAAGTGTGTGAGCCAACTTCCTCTATTCCATACCGAGTGGTGTGCATGTGTGTCTGACGGGGTGTGTGATAGCATGTTTATGCATGTGTGCAAATTCCCGTGTTTGATGATAATGTCTCTTTTACCACAGGCTCTCTGGGTTTCCACTGAAGTCTCTGAGCTGGGTGAATACTTCCTGCTGCCCTCTGAAAGGTCACTGTCTGAATGACAGATGGAAGGGCTGCAGACATAAAAGAAACACAGACACTGTAAGGAATCATTACTCTTTTGATAATTGCCTAAAGGTCATTCTTATTTAAAGTTTCTCATTATCTACCAATGCACAAACAAGTGACAAATTCTGATTTTATCTTGTGAAGCAAAGAGACTTACGCAAAAATTGAGTTGCTGAATATTCGAGACAAAGCGAAGTTAATATGGCTGACCACATGATTGAGGTGTTCACGTGACTCAAACCTCATGGAGTAGCTGGACTTGTCAGTATCGATGACAACCTGCACAGATAATAGAACAGTAATGGACTGTTGGACAATTATTAGGGTGGGAATGTTTTACTTTTTGAAAAAGGAAGAGTTACTTATATTTTTTTAGACCCTACCTATAATTTAGGCAGGACAATGAAATCACTCAGTGTTTGTTCATTTCACCATTAAAATGTATAACATGCTTTATCTAAATGAATTAAACTTTAGTATACAAAGGAGTAATAATTTTCACAGTAGCATTTAATGCACACATTATAAATAAAAGGCTACAGTAAAGATACATTATAAACTAACTTTATGTGACACGTTAAACTTTTTTAACTTACTGTTATAATGAAGAATGAAATGACTGTTGGTAAACATTTAATAACTAATATAAATAAAATACATATATAAAAAATTGAATGTGTTTCTCATAACTGATGTCAGGTTCCTTTTTTTGCACAGACAGAGTGGGACAAAGAGAGAGCAGAAACCAGGGTTAACTTCGATTGGCTTGTTGAGATGGACAGCGTTAAAAACCAGCCAAAGGACCCAAATGTGATTCAGATATGGAGTACTTCCTTGTGGATGCTTTAGCATCAAAAGCTAATATATTTATTTTGGCAACATTGGAGACCTAGCATGGTCATGATTTTACATTTGTATCAAATTAATATGATTTTAAATTGGGAGTAAATCAAGCTTTGTGTAACATACTGTAAGTAAAGAAGTAACCAGTACATTCTTCTAAATCGACAAATCTACTTGTCAGTCTGCTAGTGCTAGTTTCAGACTGGAGATTGCCTTTTATACAATTTGTCAAAGCCAGGCATGCATAGTTTACATCTTCACTAGGAAACAGAGAGTGATCGAGGGAGGGGGGCAAAGATTGGTAAGGAGCGGCTAATGATGTCAGTTTGTTTTGAGTCTCACTAGAGACTAGTCTGTAGTGACTGAAAAGAGATTAGGTAGAGTAGCATTAACTGTGGAGCAAACTGTACTCAGAGTTCAATATTAATGTGTAAATTCACCTGGTGTTCAGGGTGAGAATTCAGAGCTCGAATCTCCAAGAAGTTGAATGTGGATTCTACCTGTTGTCACAGATAACAGTTGACAAAGCACAGATTTCAGCTGGCAATGTGAAAGTAAAGCTTCATACTGTACATTAACTGGAGAGGGCAGTAACAAGTACCTTAGCAGGAATCTTTGGCGCCAGAAAATAGAGACGCCATGTTGTGAGGACCTAGAAAAGGGAATAAAGCACATTGAACCGAGATTGCAGAAAAGTTCACTTCACAGTTACATTCCCTACAGGGAGAAAACAGTCCCAGGAGTTTCCATGGTAATGATGAATGAGAAAGGTGGAGTCATTTCCATATTCATGTATTGATCCAGCTAAAAGCCCTGTATGTCAAAGACACTGTCTAACAGTTATAAACTAACCTACTGTGAAATGGTGACATGCTGCATGTTTTAATCAGAATGCAAACAGTTATTTTATTAGCATTATATTAAAGTATTTCTGCTGTGGGCAACCATGAAAGTGGCTCATATATTTAATTTGAGACATACAGTGTGGCTTTGTGCTTAACAGGCAATCATTTCTGGTCATTCAACATCTCCCCAGAGCTTTAATATGAGAACCTAAGGAAAAGAGCTGCCCAATTTTATGCCACAAAATTATTTCTTTACATTTAAAGTCGCAGGATGTGTTCCAGAGACAGAAATGCTGGTCATGCTGGGTCAGGATGCCAAATTATCATTTTTGCCACAGTACCACAGCTAATTTGATGTCTCCAGTCCAAAGTGCATGCAATCATTTGTAGTGAAATGCAAAGTTTAGACGTGACTGGCAATGTGAGAGCAAACTGAGAGTTTATTTGTGCAGCTACATCTGAACGAGCAAATGTAGCGTTAGTGCCTGTACCATCTCTACATGGAAAAAATGTGTCATGCAGCTGTTTAAATTAATCTGACTCTGTCCCTGATTCTTCTTCATGTTCAATAACGTCTTTTTTAAAAACATGGTTTGGAAAAAGTCAGTCTGTCTAAAAGAAATCAAACACAGAGCAGTGATTCTCTGGCATTTTCCTGCTTCCCACCAGTCCTTTAATACTGCCCTCTGCTCTTTGTCTTTTCCTCTTCTGCTCTGTCGCTCCCAATCATTTACTCAATTCTCTCTGATGGCCCCACTAAAACACTCCCTGAGGACAAAGTACCCCCCATGTGTCTTTCTCCAGGGAAAAGCTGTAATTAAATTACAGCTCTCCCACTCCACTGTTGTGTTTTTTGAAAAGAGGAGCTTGACACAGGCCTGTAAGAACAACACACTGACAGCCTCTTACACCCACACAGCAAGTGAGGTGTCTGAAATGTAGTCAATCAAAATGTTCATGCGAGATGGAGAGAGATGAGGGAGAGGATGAGGATCTGTGTTTCACTCCAAAGACTGTCTGAAGGAGTTGATTAAAAAGACCAGACTGTATCATATTACAGTGATTAGTCAGGGTTACGGGTGGTAGTTAAGCGAGAACGTATGAGTAAACAGGAGTAAATCACATTGATGTAGCAGAAAGGAGAGAGACTTCTCGAAGTATCCTGCATCAAAGAGACACCACACACACATTATGCTTATTGTACAGTATAATTATGCATAAGCCCTGGGACAGGACAGATACTCAAATCTTGTTTGACAGTCTGGGTGAGGCGTCTGAGACAAATCATCAAGATAAATTTGTGTAACCTGCAGTGAAAGAGCAACACCACAGGTCACGACCTTTAACCCATATAAATCAACCCTGATCTTTCTATGAAACATGGACACAAAGACCTTAACTCATTTAAGCTCCATTTACCCCCAGAACACATTTGATCAGACTCCTATCTATTTTTCCATCTTTTGAGTGCACCCAGCAGGAGCAAGAACTCAGGCTCACCAGTTCAGCTTTTAAAAGGAAGCATTATCTGAGACATAGAATGGAAAGAAATTATTAGAAAGATGTTTCTGGCAAATAGACTAATCAAAGTGTCTGAATATCAAAGGTTGCACATGCACATCCCCTAACTGCCCATCCTCACCACATGATGAATCATTAAAGCATCCACTGCTCGGCCAAAGTGAAGAAGTCTGCTCGGCTAGGAATGAAAGCCCACTGGGGTGTCAGCGGGTTGCAGGTGGAGCAACAGGAGTCACTAGTCTTTTAAAAAGTAAAAGCTACACCAGCTATACTGCAGTTGGACTGGGACTTGTAAGATCTTAGGTATACAGACGTGATTTAGTTGCTACACATAAAGGAACACTCAATCAATAAAACCTTCTCTGCACTGTGTGTGTGTCTGTGCCTATCTGCACACATACAAGTCCACTCCATTCTGCAAAAAACAGACATTCATCCCCAGTCTAAATTCTGGTCCGTAGTGCAAGAGCTTATTGCCCCAGATTTTATCAGGGCTCAGTTTCACTAATGCAAATAGATACTGTACATTTCTGCCCCACATTCTCTGATGAAAGCACCCCAGAATCAAAGGCTGTGGGCTGCTCATCCCCCCACCGCCTCCACGGTGGAGTTTGCAGTCAGCAGGGAATCCCACAGATACTGTCTATCCAGTATTTATCTTGCCAAGCCGCCAACAAGAGTCACAGAATAAGGTCAGCGGTCATACTGCAGTTAGTCGGTGGCCACAAAAGCAAGATGTTTGCTCTCACTGTTAAATTAAGAGGAGTATAGAATAAGGATAACCACCTTTATTTGGCCAAGTGTGTTACACACAAGGAATTTGTTTCCGGTACAGAACCAAGGCAGCCATCTGCAGCGCCAACTCAACCGATGGCTCTAACCATCGGGGGCATTCGGTGTCTTGCCCAAGGACACCTCAACGCATGGACTGCAGGCACCGAGATTTGAACCTTCAACCTTCTGGATGGGAGACGACGGCTCTACCCACCACTGTCTTCTCCCCAACAGTGTCCTGAGTATATGCCTCTGGTTTCATGGATATCAACACCAATGCAGAGATCAATTAACACTGCGGTGGAAGTTAACTGTACATGCATGATCCATGCACCAGACTGCTTATGTAGCAGGATTAAAGTGTTCTATCAGCAATGGAGTCACAGACCTAAAGTAGCAACTTACCAGTATCCTGTCCTCTGTTTTGCCATTTTTGGTGTCAAGCTTAATGCCACGAACAAACTTGATAGATGATTTATCAATAATCTTCCTGATGCTTTCTGTGGACGACATGAACATATAAAGCATAATAATGTTTAAACACACACAAACAAGTCCCTCATTTCTCTTTTTCAGTCTTTTAATACCGCATTTGTTTTTTCACATTTTATAGCATTTAATAAAAACCCCATTACAACGGACAATTTTTCAAAGCATGCTGTTGTCCTTTAGATTTTTTTGGTTTTATTTTTCCCAGCAAGCACAGGTTTTACTCATCTCAGCACAGAAAAAACAAAATCAGCTAAAAACTAGAGATAATACATCACAGATCAAATCTGTATTTATTCATATTGTGCTACATTATGCTATCATGTGGTGCTAATGCAAATATACAGTAAGTCTACATTGATTTGAAAAGGTTTCACTGTACTGACATACAACAATAATATCACAGGGAATGCAGGATTGCTCTGCAGGACCACCAGTCTCTGCTGATTGGTTTTCATACAGCAATAAAATACCAAACCACCTTCACCTTTGGGTGGACAGGTCTGTATTCAAAACTTCCTAATAACTATTAATTAATTAACAAGTGAAGCAAAAAGACTAATAGGGTTTTGCTCCAAAACACAAGTCTTCATTAGAAACTTTCCTGCTATTCAAGATTCAACATTTAGGGTAAGTGCACCCATTATGCCCATGTACCAGTTACACCCACTTCCAACTTTGCAGCAAAATACAAAGAAGAGAGAACATTATTTTGTTAAATCTAGGCCTTACTTATTTGCACTGCATGTTGATTTTCAGTGCAAGCCAATCATATTTGGGATTTCTGAGTGAAATCTGTCGATGTGCAACCTTTCTCAGGGGACCTCACACAAGTCACAGCAAAACTTTGGGGCCCCTCAGAAATGTCTATTGTCTACTGTCATTTTGAGTCATATGCACAAAACGTATATGTGCATTATGTAAAAATAAGACATGAATGTTTTCCTATTAGAATACTAGGATACCGCACTAAAACAAAACTCAAAAAAAAAGTTTTAATAGTCAGCAACCAGAGCTAATGTCAAGGACCAAGCAATAGCTTCATAATGGATAAACTGTTGAAAACAAGTGCATTTAAGTGGAAGTGTTACTTGATGAGTTTTGCATTATTCTACATATAAATAATTTAAAGAAGTAATGAACTGCATATTTAAAAAATTATGCATTTTTGTCAGGTGAGCTTTAATGGTACCATGCAAGAAAAAAGCATTTAACATTGAGCTAGCACAAGCTAACTTTAAATGATAGTGATTAATCATTTCTTTATTTGGTCAAAATATTAACTATTGTAATTGTTAACACACTAATTAAAAGTATACCCAATAAATGATTTGTATATTTCATGTAGTGAGAAATACTTTGTTCCTTTCCATCATTAGTTGCAGTAGCACCATGTCAGCCCAGTATGTTCTTTTAAGCCCATCTCAATTCCAGTCAGTGAAGAGTCCTTTCTCTTAGGCTACTGGTTTACCTGGAAATGTTTTTCCTGTGTTTACCACAGTGCTATTACAAGGCTAATGTATCCTGTGGTATCATCATCAAAATGTTTCACAATATGCTTTAGTGTCCCACACACGCGGCATGATACATCCAAGCATCAGTGTCTATGATTCAGTGAGAAGTGTTCCTGTCAAACAGCATCTCTGTCTGTGCTCCAACCCCTGACTTAAATACAGCAGGCAGCCTTCTTGCTGTCCCAGAGAAACCATCTTACTCACAGGTAGAGAACATGTGGCACTGACACAATGTCAGAAAACAGAGTCACTGACAGGAATTACGTGATTCAGCCTCCCCATTACTACTGCTGCACAGCATCCCGGCTGAGGAGTTTATGAACAAATCAATACTAAAGCTGATAGTCAGGCTAGACAGCAAATCCTTCTCTATATGGAGCAGTGTTTATCCATATTTTCACATAACTCTCTGTGAGTCAAAGTGGTAATGTAGTTAGGGAAGTTTACTCGAGTACTGTTGATATAAGTGAATATTCCTTTTATACGCTACTTCATATTTCTATTCCAGTTTCAGACAGAAATGTTCCTGTTTACTCAACTACATTTATCTGGCATATGAACATTTATAAACTACTGTACTTTAAAGTCCTGTAGTTAAAAGTAGCATCACTTTAACCCTGTAAAACATCAAAATTCTGTTTACACATTATCCATCCATCACCCATACCGCTTATTCCTGAATAAGGTTGCGGGGGCCACTAATAACATTTTTATATTGTTACTTAGGTTTCTGAGTTCAGACCTTTCACATGTAGGCTAATAGAGGTTTGTCTTTTTAATTGCAGTACTGCTTAGGTACTTTTAAGTAAGACATGTGAATATTCTGTGTTGGTATGCTAAGAGAATGACTGGGCTTACTTTTCAAGCTCCGAAACAAACAGTAAAGGGAGCATTTATGAATAAAAAAATACTTAATTGACAATAATTTTAGCCCACCCAGTGAAGAGATGTGAACCTAACTCTCATTCAGGTGACCTTGTGAAGCTTGTAGGCCACTAGGGCCACAGTGGCCCTGCTGCTCCACCTGTCAGTCAGTGCAGGCAGGACAGGAACAGGCGGAGCAGCCGCCTGGCAGGTGACCGAATGAAGAGGCAGGGATTCCATTGACTTGATCATCACAGTGCGCCTAATAGAGCCATTAGGAGTAATTAACACAGCAGCAGAGTCCCTTCTACCCTGAGCATGTGCGCGCGCGTGCGTTATGCACGTGCACGATATTTAATTCAAAGCTGTGTTGTGGCTTTGACATATGTAAGCTGTTGCAGTTTGAGCAAAAGGAATAAACATTTGTGAATTCTGTCGCGCTGTTGTTTGTTTAGCCCATGCGTATCTGTTTGCAAGATCCATCTGTTTTTATCAGGATCCCTAGCTTCACTTTCGCACGCACGCGCGCAATCATACAGCTCTGTCTGGATAAGACGCAGAAAAACAAAGCTAAAAGGCGCAAGGGTTGGGGTTTAAAGAGGGGAAATCGTGTTGTGAAATAGGCGTGCTTGTAAAAATGAGCGGGGTCCAAACCGCTATCGGGTCCACGAGTACACAGCATTATTTCCACAACGCCCCTTCCCCTATCTGGCCTAAGGCTTGGGTTTTATTACCCGATTCTCTCAGAGGAACAGATTCAACGCAAAGTATATTCTCCTGCACTTCAAACCATTTATCAGCACATTAGGTAATTCACATGCACTGACAGTGAAAAGCCGCCCCGGAAAGCTCCAGGACAAAATATAAAGGTGTAGCTAAGACAATCATCCAATGCGTCCGCTCGGTCGTAGCCTCCGCCAGGCGCGCGAAGGGAAAGCATCCCGAGGCGGAACGCACACACGCCGAGGGCGGCCGCGGTTACATCCCGCAACAACAGCACAAAAAACCCACCTGTGATATCCTTGCTTACACTGACGAAACCAGAGGCAGTGATCTCTTTAGAAGCCATGTCTGTTCCTCCTTCCTATCGCCACCCCTCCTCTTGGTCTTCTCCACCTCCTCCCCACTGGCTCCCCCCTCTCAGCAATAGACAGAAAGGATGGTCTCTC